GGGGAGGGGAGGGGAGGGGAGGGGAGGGATGGGGCTCTTACCCACACCACCATCAAGCCCTGGCCCTAGTCATGGAAGAGTACAGACTGTTGCCTTTCCAACCCCCGAGTGCTTCCCTTGGGCCCCAAAGACAACCAGGGCTCAGCTGTAGCACTCTGGCCTCAATGCAACTAACTGCACCCCGCGCCCGGCGCCCGGCAGTACCTTCAAGCACTGGGCTGGGGGCTGGCGGCGCGGCAGGGCGGCAGGCGAGCAGCGGCGCTGAGCCGCTGTAGGGCTTCGGCATGGTCAGCACGCTGGGGGAGTCCACCTCTCCGGAGCTCAGGAGCCGGGGCTTGGGGGGCAGCACACACTCCTGCGGCAGTAGCGTCGGGAGGCTCCGGACCACCGGGTACTTGGGGAGCTCAAAGCCTCTTCTGCCATTAGCCCCGGGCTGCTCCACATCAAGGGCGACCACACTGGACTTGAGCCTTTTGGGGAGAGGCTCCCCAAACTCGGTGTTCCGTTTACAGAGATAGTCTCTCCCAGAGGGTGCCCAGGACCCATCAGCCTTTGGGGTGTGGTCGGTGGAACTGTTGCTGCTGCCGCTGCTGCTGCCACTGCCGAGGGGGGCCTGGGAAGAGGCAGCGGGCAGCAGCTTCACCTTGGCGTCAGGTCTTTTCGATTTCTCAGGCACAGGAGAGACACTGGGCTTGGTAAACGTCTCCGATGGCTGCTGCCTGGCTGCCCCAGGACCCCCAACAATGGGCAGTGGCCTATGCGACTTCAGGTTACTTGGTGCTAAAGTGCTAGAGTCCGTCCCTGAAGTCAGGGGGGCCTTGCCTGGCCCTGAGGAGCCCTGCCGCCCCTTCTCAGGAAGCAGGGATTTGGACTGCGCTGGGGGAGCAGCCTTGGACTTGGCTTTGTGGAAACTGGGCAGTGGAGGCACGTCTTTGCCCAACAGGGCAGGCGGGCAGCCGGTCCGCCGGCTCCTCAGCAGAGACTTGTTCCTGCAGCTTTTCTGAATGTCCGGGTTGTACTTGTGCTCCAGCCTCTGGTGCATCATGAGCACTTCTGGATAAAAAGTTTTAAAGGTACAGAATGGGCAGGTGCTGCTGGGGATTAGACTTTTACTCAGAGAGAGTGCAGAGCAACCAGGGAGGACCCCCAGGGATAAGTTCAAAGGTTTCTCCTGACAATCCAGGCTGGGCTTTGTTGGCTTGCGATCAGCAGCAGTAGTCTCCGGCTGCTTCTCTATGTGGCCTGGGTGGCCCCGCAGGACAGCACTGCTGTCCACAGAAGCCCCACCTGCTTCTGATTTACAGGTGAGGATGCTGGCCTGAGGTTCACCCCCTGACCTCTTCTTCAAAAGGTCCAAGTAGGCAGGGGCAGGAATTCTGCTCACTTTCTCAGTGCTACTGCTGGCTGCACTTTTATGGAAATCCTGAGTATCTCTGTGTGCTGGTGGCGGGACTGCACTGCCCAGAGCATTCTCAAAGATAGACGGCATCTCGCGAAGCTGCTTGGCAGGCGGACTGCCTTTACCATCTTTGGCACCATTGAAATAGCGCTTTACATTTTTGGTCTGTGTGCTGTCGGCAGGTAATAGTGCATCTTCAGCCTCCTGGCCTTTACCCTCGCTCTTCACCTCGGCAGCAATGTCAGCCACCTGTCTGTCCTTGTGGTGTCTCTCCAGGTGGTACCTCAGAGATGTCTTCTGGGCTGCAGCATAGTCACAGAATTCACATTTGTATGGTTTTTCACCTAAAACAAGAAACATCTCTGTGTTATCAGGTTGTGAAATGCACCAAAGTCGAACTTGAGAAAATCTATAAGAGCGCACCCGGCTCTTTCCCTTCCCTCTCCACCCAGATTTCTCAGAGCTACACTGCTCAACACCCACCATCTGGAAAAGCCCTAGAATGTGAGCACATTCCTCATTAAACAAAGTAAACAATGCTGTTAGCTGATTTACCTTTGTCCTAGCCCCTGAGAAACACAGATTATCACACTTCTTCAGCTAAGAAAATGGATATAACAAATAGATGTAACTTTGCCCAGCTTGTACATGAACGAGGACACACTCAGATCCACTATGCCAGAGTTGCTTCCACAACTACAAGATATGCTAGCTTCATTCTACATTGTCAAAAATAGTTTAGAAAACATGTAGCATTTAAAAATGTCAGAAGGAGTGCCATTGACTCACACCTGTAATCCTACTCAGGAAGCTAAGATCTGATGATTGTGGTCAGGAGACGCTTATCTCCAAAGAACTAGCAAAAAGTTGGAAGCGGAGCTGTGGCTCAAGGGGTAGAGCACCAATATTGAGCAAAGAAGCTAAGGGTCAGCACCCAGGCTCTGAGTTCAAGCCCAGAACCAGTACTGAATGAATGAATGCGTCAGCAGGTAGAGTGAGGTGTGGAACCTACATACCCCTGTGGGAATGGGAACAAAGTCCTGCAGCAGTGCTAACTCAGCCTTAAACACTATGCTCACCTTGCTCTTTACTCATGGGCAGCGCCACAATGCCACAGACAACACACCTCAGCTCTTACCCACTACAAGCGTTAAAAACAAAGACCTTTACCTGTGTGCGTCCTGAGATGAATATTGAGGTAATAGTTGGAACGGAAAAACTTTCCACAATAACTACACTCCCTCGAGGATGCGAGATGCTTTACTTTTCCTCCACCGTCACTCTTATCTTAAAGCAAAGACAAAAGTTTTTACGTAAGACAGCTGAAGCACGTGAACCAGGCACTGTTGTCCCAAACCTTCTTGTCATAAACATTTTTATTTTAGTGCTTTTTTGCTCAAGGCTAGTGCTCTATACACTTGGGCCACAGTTCTACTTCCAGCTTTTTGCTGGTCACTTGGGGATAAGAGCTTCACTGAGTTTCATGCCCAGGCTGGCTTTGAACCGCAATCCTCAGATCTCAGCCTCCTGAGTAGCTACGATTATGAGCCACTGGCGCCCAATTGAACTTTTATAAGTTTTATAATACATGATCGCTTGACAGGAGAAGGACGGACAGCCTCTGTACATCTTCTCCACAGGCAGTGTACAGGACCAGGAGCCCCTGAAGGTAGAAGTCACCTTCTTCAGAGTCAGGGATTTTGAAACTGAGTCAATGTAAATTATCAGCATTCCCAATCTCCAGGAGAAAAGAATCTTTCTTAGCCTAAGATCACACCAGTTTCCACTAGAGGGCAGCAAGCACAATCTAATCAGGCCAACACTTGGAAGTTTGAGAACACAGACTGTACAGAGTCCACCAGCACTTCAAAGGAAAAACTCTACCTGACAGGCCAAAGTCTGTCCCCTCTGACACTAAGGCAGTGGGCCTGATGTGCAGAAGCCCACTCTAATTAAAAGGTCACCAAGGCCCCAACCCCACGTCAGTCCTCCAACAGATAACTAGCTATAGTGCTGTTCAATACCAGCATGAATACTTAGTTCTAAAAACTCCCTACTGAGGATCATATTTACACATTATTACAATTAGAAGTGACTGCAAGCCTGTTAATCTCTTAAAATTTAGCATAATCAGGGCTTAAGGACAAAAACTAGTCAGTTTGTAAAACTCTCATTTTCAATTAAGAGTTCCCTGGGGGCTGGGAAGGTAGCTCAGTGGTAGAGTGCCTGCCTTGCATGCATGAGGCCCTGGGTTCAATTCCTCAACCCCACATATGCAGAAAAAAAAAAAAAAAAGCTGGAAGTTGGCACCGTGGCTCAAGAGGTAGAGCGCTACCCTTAAGCTGAAGAGCTGAGGGACAGCGCCCAGGCCCAGAGTTCAGGCCCCACAATGGGACCCAAAAGAAAAAAAAAAAGTTCCCTGTTCCTCCTCCCAATGCTTCATCCTAGACCCCTTACAGCTCACAATTCTGAAAGGCAGCCTACCACAAGCCCCTTCAATGTAATAAACACAGGACTTACAGGCTCCATTTCACTAGAGCTCACTCTCGGGAAGAGTACAAGAGACAGCCCTTGCCCTAAAAAAAAAGTACCAGGAAGACTTTCAAAATTCTTAAAAGTAAACCTAAGCTTGTAATGCTAGCTACTCAGGAGGCTAAGAGCTGAGGATCACCATTCAGTTCAAAGCCAGCCTGGTCAACAAAGTTCCTAAGACTCTTATTTCCATTAACCACCAAACAGTTAGAAGTGGAGTTGTGGCTCAAGTGGTAAAAAGCCAGCCAGGAGCAAAAAAGCTCAGGGACAGAACCCAGGTCCTACGACAGGCACAAAAAAAATAATAATAATAAAAATTAAAAGATTAAACTTAGCCAGTAACTGCTTGCTCATGTCTGTAACCCTATCTACTCGGGAGGATGAAATATAAGCATCAAAGCCAACTTGGGCACAGAAGGCTGCCCAAGCCCTCAGTTTAAGCCCCAGGATCAGCACTGGCGAGGGGGGTGGGGAGAGGGGAAGGAAACCTAAAGAAAGCTAGACTCGGGCTGGGAAGGTGGCTCAGTGGTAGAGTGCATGAGGCTCTGGGTTTGATTCCTCAGCACCACATAAGCTGAAAAAGCCAGAAGTGGCACTGTGGCTCAAGTGGTAGAGCTCTAGTCTTGACCTGAAGAGCTGAGGGACAGTGTCCAGGCCCAGAGTTCAGGCCCCACGACCAACAACAACCCCAATAAAAAAAAAATTAAAATTAAAAAAAAAAAGCCAGACTGATAGTACACTAAGAGAACCTTGAAACTTTAAAGCTACCTAACAACACAGATGTAGAAAAATCCATTTCCTACATGTCTAAGACAGATGCGCCTGGCTCACTGCATTTTCCCTGGGTTTACACTTTGTTGAGTCTCCTCCCTCCAACTGTGCATCAGAACATCTGTCAGATCATATCCACAAAGTAATGGAATGATTGTCTTCGTTTTAAAATGAAAGATATGACATTTCCACCATCTCCTACCCTTTTTTACAATGCTAGAGAGGGAACTTTTAATAGCCTGGGGAAGAAGATGGGTTCAGGAAAACCATTTTGCAAATAGGGAAAACAGAGCAAAGAAAGGTTAAGTGGCTCACAATTGGTCGCAAAGCACTGGGACAGAACCAGAAATGATGGCCTACCTGTGGGCACCAGCGACTGGGCATCCTATCCCTGACTGTCTGTCCCCAAGGTTCCCTACCACCTACCAACATTGGGTATCTCTCAGAAACCCAAGGTATAACACTACCAGGAATCACAGGGCAACTGGATAGGGCTGTGTTTATACCTGTGATGCAATTAGCATATCGAAAGCTTTTCCTAGGTTTCTAGAAACAAGATTTGAGCTATGCTAAGTGCTGGATGCCTTGTCCCTGGAGCTCAACATACCACTAAACTTTTTTTTTCTTTTTTCTTTTTCTTTTTTTTCTTTTTTTTTTGCCAGTCCTGGAGCTAGAACTCAGGGCTTACGCACTGTCCCTGAGCTTCTTTTGCTCAAGGTTAGCACTCCACCACTTGAGCCAGAGCACCAATTCCGGCTTTTTCTGTGTATGTGGTATCAAGGAATTGAACCCAGGGCGTCATGCATGCTAGGCAAGCACTCTACCACTAAGCCACCTTCCCAGCCCTTACTAAACATTTCTGATGGAAGCTAAGAGACCCAAGTCAGTTACGTGACCACGAAGAAAACGTGAGTACTAGCCTAAGGGACCAGCTGGTGACAAGTCCAGCCCACTGTGCTGCCCACATCTTCCTAGGCCAGAGTTCTCAGAAGGCTTGAAATACACAGATAGCAAAGCTATATGGAAAGGATGCAACACATCTGCTCTTAGCTCTTGGAAATGATGCTCCTCATCACTAATGTGTGTCTCACACAAGGGGTACATTAAACAGCAGAACCCCTATTTCACTATTTCAGTGGGTCTGAGACCCAGGTGGACTCCTTTGCCTTAGATCATGCCACCAGGCTAGGCGCAAGATGTACAGAGGTAGAGGTCTCAGTTTACGTCTAGAAATGCCATTGGCATGCTGGCAGGTCTTCTGAGCCAGTGTGAAATGAGCTTATATCGCCTAAATTTTACCAACAGACCATTCCAGTCACTTAAGCATTTGTTACCGGATCCTGACCACCACATGATCAGGCAAGTGATCAGAAAGTAATAGATGACTGTCCTAGGAAACCCTGGCTCTGCCTGGCAACCCTGCCAGTGTCTCCTATACCCACAGAAGCCTGTTTAGAATAAATGCACAGGAAGTAGGCCTGCCTAGGCTTGGTACACGTGAGGTAAGAAGGAGTGAAGGGCAGAATCCCTCCCTCCTGACACTACTGCCTTTCTGGGCTACGCAGTTCTTTGATGGAGATGCCAGCTCACTTAGGCATACCTAGCAACACCAGAAATATCTCCAAACATTGCCAGATGTCACCTGGGAGTCCCAGGTGAGAGCCAGGGCTGGATGGTTCTAAAAGAGACAGATTACAAAAACATGTCTTTGGAACAAAACATAAAAAAATAAAAATAAAAATCACAGACTGCCCAAGGAGAAACTCTGAGAAGCCAAACCTTTCGGCACAACCCTGGTTAAGTGACTCCACCTAAAGGGTGTATGTGGCAAGGTGCTTACCCAATTGGAGCCCCTCAGGGAGCCCGTCCTCAGATCCGTCTTCAGAACCTCCTTCTCCGCGGTCGTCCAGAGTGGGGGCAAGGTCCAGGGAACAGGACCCAGGCTGCCTGCTGTCCGCGGACATGGGGGGTGAGCCCGTGTCAGTTCTCCGGTCCTTCTTGTGCACTCGGGAGTGCAGCACCAGCTGGTGATAAGTCCGGAAGGTTTTGCCGCATTCAGAGCAGTGTGTGGGCTTCTCCTTGTTACTGGCCAACTTGGCATCAGTGTCCGTAGAAGGCACTTCACCACTGGCCTGTCTGGCTTTTTCCTTTTCTTGTGAAAAGCCCGCACAACTACTTTTATTTGTTTTGGACTTTCCGGACCCTTCTGATTTATTCCCATTCCAAATTTCTCCCAGCTCTTCTTTCTCCGAACACGAGTCATCATTGTCAGTGCTCCCTTCGTGCCCGGATTCCTTCACCTCCTCCTGGGCGATGGCAACCTTCCCCTTGGTGGCCAGCTGCCACGCCTGGTAGGTGGTGAAGGGGTCCAGCTGAGGGATGCTTGCAGTGGCCTTCCTTGTGGTCTCAGGGTGGCACTTGGGCCTTAAGTTTAAAAACTGCAGCAGCTCTTCCCTTGGGGATGGGAATGGAGAGGGCATTCCCTCCTGCCAGGCATCAATCTGCGTGTTGCTGGCAGCAGCAGTGGCTTCTTTGGTGTGCATCTTGCTGTGCTCAATTAGATTCTCTTTATTTGGAAAGAGGAAGCCACAAACCATGCAGATTTTGTAAGGTGATGTGATGCTCACAACTGCATGTGCCTGGACCACCTCATTGATGGTGGCCGGGCTGTCCAGGCCCTGCTGCAGCTTGCTCCTGGCACCTGCCTTGCCACTATGGGTCCGCATGTGGTTCTTCAGAAACCAGGGCTCCTTGAACCTTCTGCCACACAGGCTGCACCCGTACGTGAATGAGTCCTTGTGTTTCTTCATGTGCGCCTCAACATCAAAAGCCACGCCAAACGTCTGCCCACACACCTCACAGCTCAGTTCTTCCTTTTCTGTGCAATTTTTGTCCTTCGGGGGTTCTGCTCGCACCCGACTTTTATCAAGAGGACTGAGGTACTCTGCCTCCACGCGCAGAACGGCAGGCTCGCACAGAGTGGGCCGGTGCTGCAGAAAGACGTGGTTGTTCAGGTCCTCCGACTGTGCAAAGGTCTGGCTGCAGAACATGCAATCCAAGGGCACATAGTCTTCTATCTGGATTATACTTTTCTCCTGACAGGCTCGGAAAGGAACCACGGCAGCCCCTTTGAATGACATGGTATTATCCACCTCCATCTGGGTGCCAAGAGACCCCCCAACGACTTCTGGCCCATCTATGTACACCAGGAGGGACTGAGTTGGCATGTCTCCTGTTGCTTGAGGACTGGATATAAACCAAGAAAAAACGCTTCGCTGGAGAACTCCTGGGGTTGGAATAAGGCCACTTGGAAGACTTGTCTGTCACCTCAACAGCTTCTGCTCGCCTCCAAAACTAGGACCAATACGTATGACACAGTTCAAAAGAAAGCATCTGACTTCTCCTCCTAAGTTTGGAGAAACTCAGTGACGTCACCAGCCACTCTCAGGGGACTGCACACTGTGCCTTACATCGGACTTCGCACAAGTCTTAATTCCACTGAGTCTCCACTGACTGAGATGTGGACACCAGGTTTCCAAAACCTAGAGGGGGGGAAATAACAAAACTAGTTAACAAGACTAGAAAAGAGAAGGCAGTGTATCTGAGTCAAATGGCCTACCACGTCACAGAGGGACCTCATTCAACTGCCTCACCTCTACCTAACCCATATCACATCTGGTTAAACATGTTTGTTCATTAAACAAGCAACATTCTGTCCAGTCAGTACACTTATTAAGTGTGTAGAATTTCATCTAGTCAAAAAACTTCAAAAGCCAAGGCATCTGTGGCTCGTGCCTATAATCCTAGTTACTTGAAAGGCTGAGATCTGCTCTCAAGTAGTTAGGATTGTGGTTCAAAGCCAGCCTGGATAGAAAAGTCCATGAGACTCTTATTGCCAATCAATCACCAAAAAGATGAATGTGAAGATGTGGCTCAAGTGGTAGAGTGCCAGCCTAGAGCGAAATGCTAAGGGATAGCAACGACCCTAAATTCAAGCCAAATTATCAGCAAAAAAAAAAAGAAGGAAGGAAGCAAGCAAGCAAGCAAGCAAGCAAGGAAGCAGGGAAGGAAGGAAGAGAAAAGGATACTTTTAACGTGGTACTTCACTTTTAAGTTTAAAGGACAAATAAGTTGAGTGTGGTATACACAACAGAAGCTGACAGGAACACACACACACACACACACACACAGGGGAGGCCTGGGCTCCTGTGTACATATATATATACATACATACACACACACACACACACACACACACACATACACACACAGAGGCACACACCCACAAAGTATAAAGACAAATTATCATATTTTGAATGCCAATACAAGGTGAGTATACATCCTATAAGCCTCCCACACTGCAAGCTGTAAGAGTAAAGATGACGACAGGAAACCACATCTTCAAGCCAAGTGCCAATTGATTTTCTATACACCCACAGACAAGGCCCAAAACATGGTACTAATTAGGAACCATCCCCAAAATCCTCAGCATGGCACTCATCCTGAGAGAAGGCATTAGACAGATTTGGGTCCCTGCTTATTCTAAACTGCAGTCCACTGTTCAGCAAGCATCACACCAGACATCCCAGTCCAAACAACAAACAAGGAAATATGCAAACAAAATCTGTACGTGGTGAATGCACACATTCATGATAAAACACACAACAGAGCTGTTTCTAAATGGTTTAGTTTTTCAGCAGAAAACAGGTTTTACCATCTTTTTAACCTACCTCTCCCATTATGGCTGGCCAGATGGAAAAAGGCTTATTTTATGTAGCTCTGCAGGCCCTTATGGAGAGGTTGATTTTCACTCAGAGAATTAACCTCTCAGGTCAATACTCTCCCCTTTATGGCACCCAGACAACCTGCCTTTCAACACTGCCAGCTACTCTAACACTTAAGTCAGTTAATTCTACCCAAGGAAACAAACACAAGCAAATCGCTGCCCCCCACTGTCCTCTCCAGCTCCTCAGAGCTGGGACTGTGCACTTTCCTTTCATTCTCCCTGTTGATCTTTAGTTCTGAATAAACTAGAGACTAACACTACACTGTACTACAGCTGCTCTGCCCAAGACTCTAGAGCAAAGCTTAGGTAAAGAAAACACTGCAGTTTTATCTCCATTTGTACTTTTCCTCTGTTGTAATCACAATGCAGGATAAACACGTGGGCTGGATACCTGCCGGTGTCACAATACAGCACGGTGCAGAGACTGCAGGTCCAGTCAGCCTCCCCAGTGTCACCACCACACCCATGCCCTGAGCCACTTGGTCACTGAAGAACTAAGGTATGCATTCTAGAAAACTTTCTACAGACGAATCAACAACTAGAGAAAATAACTCAATGAGTTCTATACCAAGCCACAAGGACCAATTTCAACTTCAATACAGATCACCATTTATATGTTGGTCTTATAGCACAAGCAGTAGGTATACTAGTTTGGCAAGCATATAAAGTTCTGAGTTCAAATCTAAAGTACCTTCAAAAACAAAACTAAGGAAAAAACATTATCATTCTCTTAAGGTCCTATCTTCTTTTAAATGCTAAAGTAGTTAAGACCAAGGGGAACTTTCAGACAGTAATTTTGTTTTGTTTTGAATGTCCTTAATTAGCAAAATCAAAGTCAGCTTAGGGCAAGCCTCGACTTTTTTCTTTTTTTTTTTTTAATGAAATTTGGCTGGGCTAAGAGCACAGCTCAAAGGTAAGAACCAGTATAATCCTCAGCACAGTAGGTGGGACTGAGGGTGAGAAAAACCTGGCTCTCAGTTCAATGAACAATTCAGGGCAGAAACCTCACTTTCTTAATGTGCTGGCAGCACTGGGGGAGCCTCCTACCTCTCCTTACTCATCAAGGTCACACTAGAAATATGTGGAGCCCCGTTTTCCCACCAGGCACTGTACTACAACTATCCATCTACAAAATACAGTTTCGTTCCAATGTTCATCTCCAAAATCCTCAAATCTCTGGAGTAAGAGCAAGAAGTCTGCCATGGTCTCTAGCTAACATTCTCAATTCCTTCCCTGGAGTGTAGGGTAACACAAGGCACAGTGGGAACAGTGTTATGAAAAAGAAGAGCAAGGAGAGTTCCAGCCTTGCTGTGATCCAAACAAACAAGCTGGACCTGCTACAGAAATCGGCTATGGGTCTGGACGAACTTGAAAACTACAAAACAAAAAATAATAATAAAAAAATGTAAACAGAATTCTTAAACTCTAAAGCAACCAATAATTTAAACTACATGTACACCATTTAAACTAACTGGCTAAGCAAAAATCCTTAAAGTGGTTCTAATAAATACCTAAATCATATCAGAAATAACCAAAACAAAATTCTAATGTAATTACTAATAACAACACTCCCCCCCACCCCACCCCCAAACAAAGGAAATGTACATACAGCCTTCCCAGAATCCCCCAGGCTCTCTTCTAAGCACAGAAGCAACAGTAAGCCCATGTGGCGGCTGATGGAAGAATTGTCTTTCCTAACAAAGAAGTGGGGGTGTTAAATACCACCTTACAACTCAAACGATTTTACTGGGCAGGACAGTGAGCATCCAGAACACACAGCAGGCTTATTGAAAGGTAGTGCGTAAAAACACTTTATGTTTAAAATAGTTTAAAACCTCTGCTCAGGTAAACAGTTACCCTTCAGCCATAGGCACGGGAGTCAGGTGGTCCTTCAATACTAATCTTACATTTTGAGACAATACTAGGGCTTAATTTACTATGTGATTACTGACTTACTTTTTTTAATGTACCACAACATAATCTTTGAAATTCACTAAGAATATTTAAGTTACTACCTAGACACTGATTTGGGATGAAAGCTACTATACGGTCTACCACTACATCTCAAGACTATAAATTAGCAAACATTAATCATACATTGCTTAATGAAAAGTGTGTTAAATTGTACTGAAGTACAACAAATTAGGAGTAACCATCACCCTCCTGGCAGTGACTCTTCTTGGGAAATAGTATTCTTTACACACAGATTGTAAATTATACCACCTTCAGACAGCAATAAGATATTTATCAAACACTGTCAAAAACACACAAAAATTCTATTCATCTTTACTTTTTCCCAAATTAGCCCTATGCCCAAATCTGTGGTTATTTAGTAACTGAAGTTAAAACTTCTAGTCTCCAGCCAATTCATCTGGATCCTTCTAACTATAAAATTACTTCCAAGTTCTGGTTATGAAACTTCTAAGCCTCCTGTGAGTTCTTTCTCTACATTCACACACACTGTATGTCCTTAATCCCCTTCCTCAGAGCAGTTACTGCACAGAAGCAATCCAAACCTGTAACCTCACACTCTCAACTCTCCTGAGTCACACAGAGCTAAATGATCAACCCAACTTCCCTCATAACCTGTGGGAAAAGATGCTTGAAGCTGACTGAAAAGGATTTAAATTTTCCAAGTTTAAATTCAGGATTACAAAGCAAATCTCCATATACAAAACAAAAACAAAAACCTGCTCAAAGGCCAAAACATGGGAAAAGCCTAGAGAAAATAATCTCCATTTTCTCAGAACTATACAAAAATACTCAGCCCAACAAGGTGAGGTGAAAATACAATAAAAATCCTAACTAGAAACCTCTTGATTCACCCAGGTCAGTGTGGCTCTGCCAAAGGCTTTTCCTGGGAACTTAGAACCACATACACCTTTCATTTTACTTTCAGTATTATCAATGCTGACAGTCTTCTGCCAATTCCATCTTGATCTGGAAGACCCTTAAGGGATATAACTTAATTTTTAACTAGGCATGATGAAGCACTGCAAACAGTGAGTTTCTGCTGGTATTACTTTTACATAAGGGAGTACAATCGTCTACATTTTGAAAACTGACAGAATTTTGTCTGAGGGAAAACAAAACTTCAGGAAATTAAAGAGCCTAGCTGTTTTATCATCCTCTTCACCTGTTCCTTAACCTACAGATCAGTGCTGGAGGTGTTTCTCTGTGTGTCACACAAGCCAGCACATGTAGATGAGCAGTAACTGCCCATTACCCACCACCATGCTCAGAGTAGACTGACTTCCTTCAGGCCTGGCCAGGAATGTCTAAATTAGAGCAATCTAACTAACTTCAAGTTAAATACAAGCTCAGGCAACACTTACAGGCCTAGGATCTTTCCTTAACAATATCTAAATACTCCCCTTTCCCAAATATTAAGACAATAAAAACTAAAAATTAATGTTTATTTCAAGTCACCTCCTTGCTTTCCAAATTAATGGGGAAGGTCCTCTTTTTAGTTAGTAGTAACAATCACTGTTCAGGCCATTTATATAGTAAACTAAAAATGATTTATCCACTATCAAACAGAAAAATTAAACCAACCCTCCACTTTGAACATAACTTTTAAATTATATGGATTTGACAGAGGCAGAACAGGGGAAACAAAAAAAAAATATCCTATGGCTGACTCAACAAAACCTGTATATGTCTGTCATGCAACCCATTTAACTCCAGGTTAAAGTAATGAACACAAGAAACACCACACAGCCTATTAACCCCAGCCTGAGTGGGGCAGTGCAGGTC